GTGTCTGAAATAATGGTTCTGATGTGAACCCACTTGGGGAGGCCAGGTGGTGTAGTCAATCTGGACAGACGCAGACAGCGTCATCTTCCTCCCTCCGAGCAGCTGGTGGGTTTGAACTTCTGACATCGCAGTGGGTTCAAACATGTAAGGAGTCCTGCTGGATTAAGCATTGGGCTGCCAACTGCAAGGTTGGTGGTTCAATCCCACCAGCCACTCTGAGAGAGAAAGATGACGCTGTCTGCACCTATAAAGATCGACAGGCTCAGAAACCCCAGCGTCGCTATGAGTCGGGACTGATTCAATGGCAGTACATTGGGGTTTGAGCTACTTCAAATACTTGTAGAAAATCTTGAGAAATCGGTGACTGCTTCTAAAACGCCTGGAGACACTGTCTCCATCGACGGCAGAACAGCTCAGCTGTGGCCGGTTGCATGGTACTTACAGGACGCCGCCTCCACGCACTCCCGGCAACTCCTGTTCCTCTCGGTGATCCAGTCCCACAGCGAGAGCTCACACAGCTGCATCTGCATGTGTAGCATCAGGTGATACTGCACCTGCAGGAGGACACGCCACGCACCCCCCTCTTGTTACAAATGGCTCACGTCGTCACGCACCGAGTCAACACGTGCGCGGGGACCTGTGCTGGCCAGGAGCCTGAGCTGACATCTGAGACCCAGCGGACAGATGCAGGCCTGCCTCAGGAGCCCGTGAAGGGGGCAGATCAGAAAAGCCATACTGAAAACACCACGTCACAGAAGAAGTGGCCGGGGCCACATGGCCAGGGCCTCATGTGAGACATTGAGAACCTGGTCCCCAAGCTTCAGTCTATGTTGACAGAAATTGTTTTCAGGTGAAGGCCAAGCATCAGCACACAGCTGTGCGCCACGGGATGGCACTCGGCTCTGCGTGCTCACAAGTATGTCTGCCTTGGTTGCCTCCCCCTGTACGTGACTAATACCTCGCCCAAGAGAGGTCAACAGAGATTAGGCTCCTGATAGTCTCTTGTTCTTGGCACTCAGGAGACTGCTCTAAAGGTTAACACAGATAAATGAAATGATCATCTTGAAAAGTCTCCCGAATTCAACTCTGTATTGAGGTGAGCCTGCTTGAGTTTCTGTCTTTAAAAAACAAAAAAGGCACCCACACAGAGGCACGCTTCAAATTGCAAAAAGAAATCACCGTCACTGAGTCAGCTCCAACTTGTGGCAACGGGTTTCTGAGCCTCTCCATAGGAGCAGCTGGGAGTTGCACACGGCGACCAGTGGCTAACAGTGAAACATGTAACCCACTAGGGCACCAGGATCGCCCACAGGGACAGGGACACATGAATTCCTTGACAGGCACTCTGCAGTACAGAGTTAACTGAATTACCGTGATCGCATTAATTCTGTGCACAGAGTACAAGCAGGCCCCCGCTTCAGACATAGTCGAGTATGAGGAACTGCACTTGGGCCGCCTCGTTTGTTTGCAGTGAACCAGCAGTCAGACAACACGACATGAAGGGTCCATGCTGCAGTGTGACCATTTGATATTATCGTCCTCAAATGTTGACTCCAAGTTGTTCACTGCCGGCTCACTGATCCAAACACCGACACACAGCAGGCTGTGGTCTGTTCGACAAAGAGGTTGGGGTTGATGCTGCCAGTTACTAAGGGATAGGAGGTTGGGCAGCATTCAGCTCTAAGCAGCCCAGCATGACTGAAGTGCCCACGCGCCCAACGGAAAAGCATCCTGGAAAATGATCACAGCGATCCTGCCAGGACCCTCTCCGAAAGTCATGCTCCAGACCACGGGAAGTCTCTGTGCGCAAATGATGTTTACAGCATCACGCGCACACAGAACCGAAGCAGAATATAAACGAGCCGCATGGATAGGAGGGCAGGGGGACCAGGAGGCAGCAGGAGGAACAAGAGCATGGTGGGAAGTGAGCTGGAGACAAGCAAGCCAGGTGACCAGGACAACAGCAGATCTGGGGAAGTTGGCTACCTTTGTCTGCCCGAACACGCCGACGTGTTCTTCGGACGATTCCTCGGTGGACGTGAACGCTTCCTCCTTGTCTGAGTGACACCTGAGCAGCTCACACTCAGCAGCCAGCGACCCGCCATCTTCCTGCAGCTCAGAGCAGGGCTCACACTCAGGGGCCTCTCTGGTAGTCATGCCAGGGGTGTAGTTCACCAGTCTGTTCTCTTGAACCTCAAAACCCGGCTCTCCAAAGGCCTTGTCTGCAGTGACCTCGGCAAAGATGATGGAGGAGCTGCTGCTGCCGCCGCCATCGTTTTTAAAGCTGCACTGGTCACTGCAGGGGGAGAAGGGGAGGGTGAAAACGGCGTGAAGGAGACCAGAGGCAGGTCCTCCATCACTTCTCAGGTGTTCTCCCCACCGCACATGTCTCCTCAGGTGCGTCCCCTCAGTCTGACTGCATGGCCCCGCAGGCGAACAGAGGCGCTCTGCACCGTCCAGAATAACTAACTGGTGCCCATCACAAGACTCAAGATCAAGGGGGACAGGACAGACTGAGGAAAACAGACTTGACGGCCAGATGTCAGGAGAGGCCCTAGAGAGAGCACAGGATAAAAAACCGGTGGAACATGAAAAGCCCGTTGTCTGGCACCGACGAGAATCAAGCCCCAGGTGGTGCAAGCATCAGCTGCTCACCAAAAGGCTGGAGGTTCAAGTGCTCCCAGAAGCTCCAGGCTAGACTGGCCTAAGGGTCTGATGAAACCCTGCCGCTGAAATGCCTGGCAGGCACGTTCTGCTCTGATACACGCAGACCAGGCGGCAGGATCCATCCGAGGGCAACTGATGTGGTATGCCAATGGACCTGTCAGCCTGGCCATTGCACATCCGGTACGTCAATTGGCCTGTTGCTTTTATAATTAACTGTACTTTGGTTGTGCGAGCTGCTGACAAGAGGGGAAGTTGGGTGAAAAGTGAATGTGAAGCTGCTGTACGAATCTTTCGACTTTTCGCTAAGTATAAAGTTATTTCAAATAAAAAGTTACAAAATTTTTGGAAAAAAATAGAGATCAATTGTTCTTTCATTCGGGACTGAAAATAGTTTTATCGCTTAGCTCTGAGGAAAAGGGAAAAAAGCCTCTAAAACTATGCCAAATCTGAAAAATTGATTTAACACACAGATTAACAGGCTCAAAATGGATTCACGATCAACATGCGAAGCTGGAGGAAATGCAGTGAAGCATGTTGGTTCTGAGCCTCGCTTCCGTCAGCCTCTTATCTGATGCGATACCAAAGCATGCACAGCAGAAGGCAAAATCAGTCAACCCCTCAAATACCTCACAGGGAGTACCCGAGAGGAGGAATTAACATTCTGAAACGGAAACAAGCAGCTTGCAACCACACCCCGAGACACCCCATGCAGGTGACTGTGAGTAAATTCACAGGGGCGGGGGCTTCAGAGCAGTTGTGGAAGAATGGAACTGAGAGTTAATGGAATCGATCCCGAACCGTCTGCAGGCCCCTCGCGGAGTCCACACAAGTCCACTCACCTTTCGGAGAGCACTTCCAGAGAGGGCAGCTGGACGGACACGCTGTCTGAGGAACAAACACAAAACCAGAAACACCTTCAAGTGGCTCAAGTTTCCAATCTAGAGAGGCGAAGGCAGAGCCAAGACATATAAATGATACCAAAATGCCATGACCTTTGGGCCAAGTTCAAGATAGGAAGCACTTCTGAACAACTGACCTATTTTTAGAATTATAGACAAGGCTGTTCACCGAAGCCCAAACCAAAATAACCAAACATATTACCAACAAGCTGGCTCCGACTCAGAGTGACCCCATGAGGACGGGGTAGAACTGCCCACTAGGGTTTCCAAGGCTGTATGGAAGCCAAGGGTGACACCGCCCCCACCCCCGCTCCACTATACAACGGTAAAGAATCCAATAGCCAACCTTGGAGACTTCGTGGGCCCCTGAGACTCTGCTGCAGCCGTGGAGTCAGCCAGCTCACTGCCAGCGAGTCAACTCTGACTCGCAGCGACGCTACAGGACAGAACAGAGCCGCCCCATGGGTTTTGAGGCTGTACATCTCACGGGAGCAGAACGCCTCATCTTCCTGCCTTGGAGCAGCCGGGGTTTCCAAGCACTGACTGCATGGTTAGTTAGCGTCCTAACCCGGAACCCACTAGGATTCAGCCAGGGAGGTGCCGAAGGCACCTCAGAGGAAACGTTAACACACGAGTGTCAAACTGTGCTCCAGAAAGTCTTGTTTACAGTCAGTCAGCCTTGAAATTGCCTATCACTTCCACCAAATATTCACCTTGAGGTTTTTTTTCATCTCTTAAAAATGTAAAAACCATTCTCAGCCTGTGGGACAGACAGAAACAGGCGGCAGGCAGGACAGGGTCCGGTGCCATCGTGTGGCAGCCTCCAACCTCTACCCTTGCAGGCTGCTTACCTTCCGGTTTGGCCATGTGCACGTGTTCAATCCAGGCAGTGTGGTAGCCTACAATGTTGGGGTGCTGCAGCCCAGACAGCACCTTCACTTCCCGGAGTACCTGAGAGGGAAAGGCAATTAGATGGGGCTCCCGCCAATGGTGCTGAACGCTCACGCCACTGCTGGGTCCCACAGAGTCGATTCGACTTGGGGCAACACGGGTGTGGGAGGGAGAACTGAACTCCATATAAGACCGTGAAGCCTGACTGGACAGCCTTTGGGCTGCTACCAGGGCATAGAATTGTTGGCACCACCCAGGAACTTCCCCTGTCCATGGTACCACAGGGTTCAGTTGTAGAGCAAAAAATATTAACTCCTGCTTACAAGGAAGCTAAGCCAGCTTAAAAGCAATGGGCTAAAAATATATATATGTAAAAAATCGCTGGGCTATTTTTGTGGAAAACGAATGGCCACTGAGCGAGCACGGAAACTCACATACATTTTCACACAGTGTCTCTGCTTTCCCAGCTGACTCAGAAGCAGTCCGTCACTTACTTCCCCGAGGTAAATAAAACCTCTGATGTCACCACCCCTGCTAGGGCGGGAGACAGACGTGGCTCAGAGGACAAGATGGCCTGCCTGGGGCCACCCAGTACAGGTGAGGGAGCAAAGAGGCCACAATGTGGACCCTAGTTACTGTGCAGCAATGCACATAGGCAGCCCTCAGGGGACCCTGCTGTTTCAGTCCCAGACAGAACACCACTACCCAGTGAGGACTACAGTCAGGTGAACCACACGGATGTAGGGCGTTTCCAGGGCACATAACGATGAGGGTCACGCTGTGATGGACGGTGTGAAGTGTGCAACAGCGGGATTTAAAGGCCTGGAGTAGTGTGACCATGAGCAGCAAGCAACAGAGACACCAGGGAACCACAGGCTACTGGGAAATGGTGCCTATAGACTTGCTTGATGCAGGCATGCCAGAAGCTTGCATGAGTTAAAAATGGCCTAGCTGCAAAGCGCTGTGAAGCTAAGTGCAAAAACAAAACTGAGGTGATGCTGAGTAAAAATTAATTTCCCCAGAAATGACCCTGAAATGTGATCAGTCTGAAGGTGCTACAAAAAAAAAAAAAAAAAAAAGTCAAATTAAGAATTGAGTTTGCTTTCTGAAGGAGGCTTTTCTATGCTTTGCTTTGTTATTGCTGCTGTTTTGGGATGGTTTTCTGCCTCTGAAATCCAGGATGGGTAAATGTAGACAGACAGGAACCAGATTCATGGTTCTTTGGGGGTCTTGCAGGGGAGGCTGGGGGGAATGGGAAGCTAATAACAATCAGTACAAGAACACTGATGGCGGTGACGACTGTACAACTCATCTTGATGTGACTGAACTATTGGGTTATATATGAGTTATGCGTCCATAAAACTGTCTAAAAAGGAATGTGGTGTTCACTGTAGTTACTGTAAAATGATTCTTAGTGTAACGTCCAAACACCCCATTCACACATACTTCCCACGGGGAACTCTTTCAAAGGGACCCTAATGCTCAATAACTCAAAAGAATTTTTTTTTAAATCATACCTTCATGCACTCGGTTTTAACAGCATTCTTCATCAGGATTTTTTTAATTGCATAATACTGGCCATCTAATCTATTCCTGACCTAAAAAGAAAGAAGGAAAGCTTAGCCTGTCATTAACTTCCAAATGAATGATGACAGTCCTTGAACTTGAGCTTACTCACCCATTACCCGCTGCCCTCGAGTTCTTTCTGACTCAGTGACCCTGCAGGACAGAGGAGGTCTGCTCCACTGGTTTCCAGACCGCCCTTTGGAAACAGCCTGCCCTGTCTCTCTCTCAGAGCAAATGGTGGGTTGGAAGGGCCGACCTGTGGCTAGCTGCTCAGTATACTCAGCACATCAGGCCACTTAACCTGAGTTTAAATAATCCATGCTATCCAAACCACAAAAAATCTAAAACTTAATTTAAAAAACCCACTGCCATTGTGTCCATTTCCACTCATAGTGAGTCTATATAAGGTTTCAGGGTATGTAAATCTTTACGGGAGCAGACAGCCTCATCTCTCTCCCACAGAGCGGCTGGTGGGTTTGAACTGCTGACCTTGTGGTCAATAGCCCAATGTTTATCGAACACTACCCCAGAAGTTAAAATGAAGGTAAAAGCACATGTGCTCTTCTCTACAATCAGGACGTCATTGGTACTCAGCTAAACTGGAGGCTTTCCATGGTTCCATACAGAGCCCACCACCTCAAAGGTCTAGCACCGAAGATGGGGCTCTGAGCAAAAGAGCTATGTGATGTCCCAAATGCAACTGCCCAGCTTTTTCCAATAGCACATTCTTAGTAAACTACTACACACACCAAAAAAAACCCAGAAACTCATTTCTAGGACATTTCCATGGAACTCAACATGCTTAAAATAGTAACAAAACTGACCTACTTCCTTGTCAATGAAAAGATCGGTATGCCTGATTTCTACGATGACCCTTTGAGCATCATTCATTAACAGTCATGGAAACAGTGCCTCAAATACCCGAGCTGATGGAGTGACAGGTCAAACGAGTGTGTGTAAAACTACCTTATAGACTCGTCCATAGCCACCCTTTCCTAAGATGGCAATCTCTTCAAATTCACTTAAGTAACGCGAGGTCTGTGCTTCGAAGGCGACTTCTCTTAACCTAGAAATTAAACACAAACATCCCGCATGTTAACGTTACGCCATCGGAGAGCCAAATTCTCCCAGGATACTGTGCGGCGTGCTCACTGGCAGCCCATCCAGCATACTGACTGTGGCCCGAGGAGATGTGTACTAACATTCACATGCCCTCTGTCCATCTCTACGGAGAAAACGTGTGCTGAGGGAATGACAGCAGGTCACTGAGCTCAACTCAAGCATCTTATCAGGGCATCTTCTCGTGAGAAGCTGGCATCGATTCCTAAAGCTAGAGTCTGCAAGGTGGCAGGGAGATAATGAGCTGAGCTCGGGATGAACATAGTGAAATAGCTTCGCGCTCCAGCCCCACTGCAGATTCTGAATTGAGCACAGTGGAAACGTGCTGCCGTAACAGAGTTGGGTGTGAATGTCTGACGGCGGGGGCACAGGGGTTTGATCTGGAGGTGGAGAGACAAGGCAGGACCCTTGGGAGAGGAGTCAGAGTGGTAAATGAGAAGAAAAGCTAATCTCAGAGCAGTAATTGATGGCCGAGAACAGTTTTCCAGTTTCATAAACTACTCTCGTAACCCCCACAAGGAGTTCTCGGCTCACTCCCTTATTTTTTCTGGATAGTTAACTTTTGGAGACTCAAAACAAGGTGTTCACACATACCTGATGCTGTGGGTATGAGAATTCTCCTCACAAGGGTCCTGAAAAAAATCAGAAAGGTCATTAAATTACTGAATTGTAGGATACGTGAATTATCTATCAATAAAACTTTTTTTAAAAGCAGGGGTGGGGGTGGGGGTTCAAAATGCACTTTGAAAAGTTCCTGGGAGAGAAAAAAAAATGTTCCAGGGAGTAAGAAATTGATCAAATCTAATGCCAAAAAAACCCCAAAACCAAACAAACCCAATGCCATATGAATAGCCCCAAATGCTCTGACAATGCTAGAAACCAAACAAAACATCCCTGGCTCTTCCAATATTATTTGTAGCTTACCAGTGCAAGTATTTTTGTCTGGCCGAAAGACCATGGGGAATGCAGCTACAACCTTGCCGGATGCTGACAGAGCTGAGAGCTTAAAGAAGGAGCCCGGGCAAAGGAGCTCATTTAAGTTCAAAACAGCTCCAGAAAGTAAGGACTCTCCCCACTCTCCTCTGACCCCATTCCAAGCCCCCATCATGCCCTACTTGTCCAGCTGTACCTGCCCTGGCCCCTTCCTCTAATCTCAACACCACAGTGAGAGGGCTCTCTAAAATGTCAGTGAGCTGTGGCATGCCTCTACTCAAACGCCTGCACTGCGTCCCATCGGACTCTGAGTAAAATGCTTTACAATTGCCTCGAGGGCCCATGGCTTTTGTCCCCTCTTACACAGACCCACTTGCTCAGTCTACCCTGGTCACTTGTTCCTCTTACAGGCCGGACACAGGGCCACCTAAGGGTTCTTGCAATGCAGCTCCTCTGCCTGGAATACCAGACCTCTAGGTCTCTTTGTGATTCCTTCTCCTCAGATCTTGCATCACATTAGTAAAACTCACACACGCCCTCCCAATGTTATCTAACTGCTTTGCGTCCCTCCTCAGCCTTATCAGCACCTAACACACCACACAAGGGAGTCCTGCTAACTGCAAGGTCAGCAGTTCAAAACCACCAGCCACTCAGAGGGAGAAAGATGAGGCTATCTGCTCTTGTCAAGATTTATGGTCTTGGAAACCCATGGGGACAGTTGTTCCCTGCTCTATGGGGTTCCTATGAGTTGAAATCGACTCCATGGCAGTAAGTTGGTATTTTGGGAACACACCACACATTCTTCTCTACGTAGTTTTACTGGTTTCTCCTGGTGCCTCATGAAAATACAAGCCCCACAGGAGAGAGGCTGCTGTCCTTTGTGGTCACTATTTTCAGCCCAGGTGCACAAGGGCGCCGAGCACAGTGGTGTTACTACTGAGTTGATTCCGACTCCAGGCAATGCGGTGGGCTACGGCATCGGCAGCTCTCATCCAACCAGACTTAGGTCACCACGGGGTCGGTTCCAACCACCAACTTGTCGGTAGTCAGCCACTAAATATTTTAAAAGCACATTCAAACGTGTACTCTCACAAACGTGCTTCACAGCTGAAATTTCCCGATCCTCTAAATTACACTTCTCTGGACGTCAGACACGCTTCCGTCATCCGCAGAGTCGGCTTCTTTGGGGCTCACCTGCCGGACTCTCTCCTTGGCGGAGCGCATCAAATGAGTGATAGCCCGGTTGTGATGCAGCCTCAGGGAGCTGAACTCATCGCTGCAGGTGAAAGACGACAGCAGCCCCATCTGGATGAAGGTCTGGCACAGCACTAGAGAAAGAAGGCAGGAGCTGAGTGCGGGAATGGCCATGGGGAAATGGCGAGTTTCAAGAACGCAGAGGCCAGTGAACCAGACTCTGCTGGACAGAGCCCAACAACAGCGGATGTGTGTGAATCACTCCCTCACTCGCCTACCTACCTATGGAGCTGTTTGACTTATTAATTTATAAGGAAGAACCATTAGTGCCTTCACTGATCACAAGTACACCGTCCTTCCTTAGCTGATACAGTATAGTCATCTGATTACCATTTCTGGACAGTTCGTAAGTACTAAGCTCCATTAAAAAAAATAAGGCCAAAGAAAAAATGTAAACATGTAGAAACATAAGCATTCTTTAAAAAAAAAAAAAACCATTCGTTTAATATACAAAGACGTAACACTTTGCTGACAGGCAGCAAGCTGAGAATAAAGAGTAGACAGGTGTAATAATAATTAGAAGAGATAACAAAATGAACGGCAATGATCTGCATATAAATGTACATCCCTTTTGTCTATCTGTGTACCTGAAACTCACTGCGCTGAGATCATTCTGACTCATAGCAGCCCTACAGGGCAGAGTAGAACTGCCTCTCTGGGTTTCCGAGGCTGTAAATCTTCACGGGAGTAGAAAGCCTCATCTTCCTCCCGGGATACAGTGTAGACTGTCTGCATTTGCACCCCGCCCCCCTAGATTGTCGTAGCAGCCCCCAGGGGGCAATATCGCCACTTTGGGAAATACTGATCTACATGATCCACTGCCTGCATGGGAGCTACAGCACTGGTTCTCAACCTGTGGGTTGTGACCCCTTTGGCGGTCAAACAACCCTTCTACAGGGGTCACCTGATTCATCACAGTAGCAAAATGACAGTGATGAAGTAGCAACGAAAATAATTTTATGGTTGGGGTTCACCACCACATGAGGAACTGTATGAAAGGGTCGCAGCATTAGGAAGGTTGAGAACCACTGATCTACAGCATCTACTCATACTTATGTCACACCACACACATTCTGAGAGACCAGAGGTCTGTTCACAAGCTTTAGGTAGCCAGCTTTCGCCCTTCCTACTGACATTTAAACACCTGTCGGGAGCGGGCTGGGTTTGGCTCGTGCACGTGGCTCAGGTGTTCCAGCAGGGAGACCAGCAACAGCTGATTTGCAACCGCGAAGGGGAACGTCGTCGACTGCTGCAGGGGGGCTTTCAACACCTGGAGTTCAGCCGGCACGTCGGACTCTGGAAATGTCAAAACAGGAAGAAAAGAAAATGTAAATTCATTGCAAGCACCTTGTACAAGGGCACGGCAGGCTTGAGTCCCAGACACTATTTACACTGAAGGAAATGAAAAGAGGCATGAGGCTGGATGCGGCTGAACCAGGAAGGCTGTCTTTCTTTTTGAAATTTTAAAAATGTATTTTGCTTTCTAAAAAAATATTAATTGGGAATTAATACATATATCATTCCACAGTTCCACCACATCAAGCAGAATGGTACAATTGCTACCACCATCAGTTTGCAAACATTCTTTTTCTTCCTGGACTCCTTGACATCGTCTCCCCAGCCACCACCCCAGAACGCCCTCCACCCCTACCCCCACCCCCCAAAACCCTTATTCTACTTGCTACCCCGATAGGCTCATCAATCGGTAGGAAGGCATTCTGGAAGGGAGTCCTGGGTTGGCCTCTGGAAGCTAAAGGTGCCATGAGAAGGGAAGCAAGCGGAGCCAGCGTAGCAATGTTATCCACAATGATAGAAATACCTAAAAAAAATCACCCCTTCGGATTCCTTGTCCCTCAGATATAAATATTGGTCTGAGTGGCTGAAAAAGAAGGAAAAGTAAAACTGCAGTGGACTTGAAGTCTTTAATAACTTACAAGTTCATTTCAAACATAGGGAAACAAATCCAAGCTCACTGCCGTAGAATCGATTCCAGCTCACAGTGACTCCACAGGACAGAGTAGAATGGGTGATGTGCATTTCCAAGGCTATAAATCTTTACAAGAGCAGACAGCCTCAGCTTCCTACCACAGAGCGGCTGCTGGGTTTGAAGTGATGACCTTTCATGTCTATAGATGCCCAAGCCATTATTATTTTTAATGGTGGGGGGTGGGGAAGAGACTCGGATCTAATTGTCAACAATAAGAACAAAATAGTTGATTGTGCAGAATATTTGCAATCTGCAAATGAGGCTTTTTTAAAGGCTCGTTTATCCCAGAGGAAATACTAATATATAACTCTTAAAAAACCAAAAAGACAAAGATAAAAATTGTTTTTATCCTACTACTGGGATCCCATGGGAGGATGGAAAGGTGAGGCACCCTGTGCCCACGATGGTCGGCAGTCTTCAAAACCCACAGGGGCAGTTCTGCTCCTTCCCACAGGACCGCCATGTCGGCACTGACTCCAGGAGTCCAGTTTTATTTGTTTGTTTTTGATTGACGAGAATCATCATTTCAAAGTATGTTATTTTAGAACTGTATAAACATCCCTGGCCAAAATGTGAGAAACAAAGCAAAACTGCCTCCTCTCCTTGAAATGACACATCTACACACTTTTTTTTTTTTTAGAATAAAATTACAACGTACAAAGAGGCTTCCAAAAGTTCTTGGAAACTTTTCATTCCATTTTCCACAAACTTTTAGAATGCTCTTATACACGCTGTTTTGCAGTCTGCCTGTCTGACACAGTGGACAGATGAGCCATGAGCTATCACTTTGACAGCTGGTACCTGGGACAGAGCCCTGGTGGTGCTGTCGGGAAGTGTTGGACTGCTCACCACAGGGCCGCAGTTCAAGCCCATCAGCAGGCCCATGGGGAGAGAGAGGAGGCTGTCTGCTCTCTCACAGATTTACAGCCTTGGAAACCCTACATGGAGTCGCTGTGTGTCAGAAGAAACTCCACCGTGCTAGGTTTGGTTTGGGCACCGAGGAGAGATGGGAGCAAGGACAGAAGTATTTGCAGATGAGTGTACACTGAACTGTCAAAAGTACATTCACTACAGGGACTCACCGGGAGGTACTTTCCCCTTTTCTTACACCTTAAAATTTCGTGAGTGATCTCCCTAAATCTTTATTCTAGTTTGATAAAACCTAGACGTCTTTTAATATGTATACTACCTTTCTTTGACAGTTTTTAAAACAAAATCTTAAACACATAAATTGTCTCTAATCACTGGCTTAAGAGATCATTCCAACTCACAGCGACCCTACAGAACTGAGTAGAATGACCCCTGTGGTTTTCTGAAGCTGTAGATCTTAACAAAAGCAGAGAGCCTCAGCCTTCTCCCATGGAACACCTGGTATAGTCGATTTGGCAGTTAGCAGCCCAATATGTAACCCACTTCACCACCGAAGCCCCAAACCAAACACACTGCCATCAGTCAATTCTAACTTATAGCAACCCGATAGGACGAGATAGAATTGCCCCTGTGGATTTCTGAAACCATAACTCTTTATGGGAGTAGAAAGCTTCATCTTTCTCCAGAGAAACAGTAAATGAGCCATGAGGCATCACTTTGCCTGCTAGTACCTAGGACAGAGCCCAGGTAGGGTTAGCAGCCTAATGCTTAACCATCTTTGTGGTTGTTGTTAAATGCTGTCCAATCCGTTCTTACTCGGGGACACTACATGCAGCAGAGAGGAAGACTCCTCGGTCCCAGGCCATCCTCACAATTGTTACATTTAGGCCCATTGTTGCAGCAATCCGATACACCCGAATCTCCTTCCAGGTACACCGAAATGTGAACCATAATCAAACAGTAATACCGGGCTGATGAGATTTTGGGTTTTCATCCTTTTCTGTATCTTCCACATAACGTATAACATGAAACTGAGAGGGGGACAACCAAAAAAAAACAAAACCCACTGTCAGCGGTGGTGGGATTGTGGGTAGGAGGGTTCTTGACTTCTCTCTAATGGCCTTTCCCAGCTTCCACAATAAGAAAAGCGTTCTATTTAATAAGGGAGAACAACAAAGAAGAGTCGGTCGGTGGAATCAAGAACTCTCATTCCAAACTCGCTGCTACTGAGTCCATTCGGACTCATAGGGACTCTACAGGGCAGGACAGACCTGCCCCAGTGGGTTTCCAAGTCTGTTTATGGGAATAGAAGGCCTTTCTCCCCGGGGCCGCTGGTAATTTTGAACTGTTGACCTTGTGATTAGCAGCCCTATGTGTAACCCACTCTACCACCAGGATTCTGCTTCAAATGAAAGTTGCCATTTAAAAAATTAAAAAGACAACTTTACCAGGATGAGTCTTTATGGAAATCCTTGATAATCCTTACTAGAGGGAAAAAGACAGATGAGAAACTTTAGGGGGCACAAAACTGGAAGGAAATGGAGGCAGAAATTGAGAGCTTCAGAGTTCTGGGCAAGTTCTGGGCAAGGGGAAATGGGCAGACAGGAAAAGAGAGGTCAAGTTCCCCTGTAGAAGGGAAAGAAGTGAGACGCGGAGCCCACGCACAGCAGCAGTCTAGAGTTCTGCCACGTCCTTGGAGACTAGACAAACCGGAATTGGATCACCTAACTCCATCTTCTCAAGACAGAACGATCCACAGGGTCCATTAGTAAGTGACAGGAGAGACAGGAGGTTTAGAGGTTAAAAAAGAAAGCGCAAAAGTGATGCCAGATGAAGGGGGAAAATGTAATGAGTTTGTTCATTTTTTAATTTTCAAACTAAGGTTTTCTTATATACTAATATAACATAAGCCCATAGAAAAAACATACGATGGATAAGATACTAAACATACAGATTTAATCATAGGTATAATGTAATTTTCTAAAAAGATGGGTTTATTAATAAGAACATGTACTATAATAATCCAAAGTTAATTACAAAACTTTTAACAATCAAGTGAAAAATAAATGAACAAACAACTAAGAATAATGTTCCTTTGTGTAGCTCCATTTTTATTCTAAATTGATAGATGTAATCATACTATATTCTGCACTCTTTGTTACATTAACAGTTCCTAAGAAAAAGTAAAATGAGATTTATCTGATGCTTTTACAGTGTCCTGTTGGGGTAGTGGGTAATGTGTGGGGCTGCTCACTGCGAGGTCAGCAGTTGGCACCCACCAGAAGCTCAGAGGAGAAAACGTGGCAGTCTGCTCCTACAGATTGACAGTGTCAGACATCCCAGGGAGCAGTGCTACTCTGCCCTACAGGGTCACTAAAGAGTGGGAAACAACTTGAAGGCAGATGGTCTGGTTTTTGAAGATCTACAGCGTGAGCCTGACAATGGCTGGATAGACACACTGCTGGCCCTGCTCCCAATGCCGGGGTCCCACAGTCACCCTGCTCAAAGGCTCCTGCTAGTTATGGGGGGGAGGGGAATGAATCCCTATGAAAGGTTGGTCACCACCTTTTAGACCCCATGAGTTTTTAGGCTCTACCATTAACTGATGAGTGCCTTCCACATGAGATCTGAGAAGTCTTTCAACTCTTTTGTTTGTTTTGATATCTATTTTAAAGTGCAACAGAATGCTTCTTAGCTCTAACTTGTCACATTAAAAAATATATACATATGCTAGCTGGGCATTTGGGGCCTCTTTAAAAGAAAAGGTCATGAGTAAACATAACAGTCTTATCGGTGGTAACCCGGGAAAAGAAACTTGAAGTGAGTTTATCCAAGATCACTCCTTGCAAGCATTATCTTGAGTTTGCAGAAAGCCTTATCTCGATGTTACAGAGCAGCAGACAGACTTGGGTGTTTAAAACTGGGACGTGTCCTATGACATAACATTCTGTGTGACGTTAGTGAGCTGCTATCACTTTCTCACTGCCCTCCAGTTGATCCACACTCCAAGAGACCCTGGACATCCTAGTACTTGGGGGGAAGGGGGATGTCCTTTAGAAAAACCATTACAATTTTTCTTGGCAACAACAGCCTGCTTACAATTACCACCAGTCTGGTGTTGCTTCCCCGTAGGGTCCAGAAAGGAGCCCAGATGATACAGCTGGGGAAAGTGCCAACATCAAGGTTGGAATTGGACCCACCAGCTGTCCTTCACGACAAAGACAAGGCTGTCTGCTCCCATAAAGATTTATGGCCTGGGAAACCCCGTAGAACGGTCCTACTTCTGTCCTATGAGTTGGCATCACCTCAACAGCAGTGGGTCACCACGTACCGGTATCAAAGAACTTAAGTAATCAATGAAGAACATTTCAACTGGGTCGTCACATTTTACCAACTGCCAAGGCAAGTAAACCATCTAATAATGAATCGCAGTAGGCTCACCCAGTACAGGCCATTGCATTTGCACGGAAACACCGGTTACTCTGAACCTGCTACAATCAAGGCGTTCAATACCTCTCCCGTTGTATTAAATAACCCGGCTTACTACCGCCTAGTACCCCAAACGCATAAGAAAATCCTTGTAAACAAACAGAAGCAAAGAGAATGGGGGCCGTGCTGCCATATGGTCAGTGGAGCTACAAAAAACTCAAAGCCCCGCGCTGCAAGTGGTCAGCGCTTGCGGTCTCCAGAACCCCATTCCAATCGTGACCAAAGCTCCCGCTATCGACGGACAAGACCACCGAACCCCGGGGCTGGACAGTGGCCGCGGGCAGGGCCCAGGTCCGTCGGGCGCCCGGGGTGGCGACAAGAAGGCGGGACCCAGACAAGTAAACAGCGTAGCAGCGGCGGCGGTTACCACAAATGTCCCCTTTTCCAAGCTGTCCTGCGGCCCCCTCCCCACCGGCGCTGCGCCCCCGGGGTCCGGGCCCAAACCCGGATCCAGCCCAGAAAGGAAGCTCAGCTCACCGTCGTACTTGGGGTCCGGGCTTTCGGCGGGGAAATCGATGGCAGGCGGGGCAGGTAAAGCCGCCGCCGCCGCCGCCGCGTGGTCCTCCGCTTCGCGCTCCGGCGACCCAGCGCTGTCGCTCCGCATCGCGGGAGGCCGGCCGGCCCGCGGGCTGGCCCTCCGCGACGGAGACAGCTCGGAAGTGATTGCGCCGGGATCCGGAAGTGGCCCCTGGACGCAGCGGAAGGCCAGCCCCTTGATCGGTGAAGGGGCGTGGTCTGTATAGCTCCGCCCCGTGGGCGGGTCACGCACTCTGATAGGCTGGTCTTAAGGAGGCGGCTGTCTGGGAGTTCTGGGCGGGGACTAGGCTGCTAGGGACTCCTAGGCCCGCTGCGCCCCAGCTGTCACTGCTGGAGACCTTGTAGCGGCTACAATGTAGCCTAATAAGAGCCCGTGGCCTGAATCAGTGCAGACAACTCCAACTCCAACTTAGAGAGAAAGGGGTTAGAGTTTTCTTAGAAGGTCATATCTATGGGGTGTCGGATCGCAACGCAAGGGGGGGTCACATGCTCTTATAAATGCTTTACATTAAAACTCAAGGAGCATAATAATAATTTATAAATTATCAAGGGTTCATGAGGGGGGGGAGAGGGGGAAAATGAGGAGCTGATACCGAGGGCTCAAGTAGAACGCAAATGTTTTGAGAATGATAATGGCAACATATGTACAAATGTGCTTGACACAATGTCTGGATTGTGATAAGAGTTGTATGAGCCCCTAATAAAATGATTAAAAACAAACTCAAGGAGCCTTGTGGCGTAGTGGGTAAACCTCGGGCTGCCAACCACAAGGTTAGCAATTCAACTGGAAACCACTAGTCACGCCGCAGGAGAAACTCCTGTAAAGTCTCTGCTGTGAGTATGAATGGAGTCCAAATAGACTCATGGCAGTGAGTGTAAACAACGCTTGATCCGTGTTATTACATTACTCAGGAGACCTGCTGACATAAGGTTGTCTTGGCCTTGGGCTGCTAACTGCAAGGTCATGGGTTGGAACTCAACAACTGTTTCTCCGAAGATGGGAAGAGCTGTCTCCTCCTTTAAAGATTCACAATCTCGGAAACCCAAAGAGGCAATTCTACTCTGTCCTACCAATGGGTCGTTCTAAATTGGAGTCGCCAGAATGGCAATGAATTTGGGCTTATTATTAACTCAGGTCCCAAGATAACCACAGATGTAAGTATGGACCATAACAATCAGATAAAACAACAGGAGTAGCATTTATGAAGCATGAACGATTTATTTTCAATATCTCAGTGACCCTCTGGGCAGAATTATCCACACAGTGAAGCCCACAATATATGTGTTTGACAGTACAGAAAATGTTAACACTGGGAAGTATGACGTGAGTTATTGTAACCTCAGAGAGTAAGTTAGCTTAGTGCTGGATGGGAGTACTAGAAAAGGTTACAATCTGAGAACCTGCAGAGCAATCAGTGTTCACATTGCAATCTTATCCCGAGTGCAAGAATCAAATGTCCCCAGAGACATATCCAAATGTTTCTTTTTTGCAGATCCAACAGAAAATGCACCCGACTAAAATGACAAATGCCTGCTATATTCTGTTCCTAACCAACGTTCTGCTGGCTTGGGGACTGAACTTGCAACTGGAATATTTTCAAACCGGACACAGCCTTTTCCAGGTGGTCTCCGTAGCCACACTGGGTCAACTTTGGGTTTCCCAGTGTGTTTATTTTTAGCATCACTGTTTGGGTGAAAGCTGACAGGGCACATATAGGTTTCCCTGGCAACAATTCAGACACATTTCTTTCATGACATTCCTTGCAATGACCTCACTATAACAACACTTTTCCCACTTCCTCCTTGACTCCCTGTTTCCAATCACCCACCTTTCTAGCTCCTTCCTGCCTTCTGAACGCTGTTATTGGGCAAATGCTGCTCTCCTGGTTTCCTGTGACTGACTATTCTGAGGAGCACGTTCCTCATGGGTGTTATAAGCCTATTGTTTGACTGAATGGTGATCTCCTCAAGTGGTTCAGTTCCAGGTTTGAATAGTATCTAGGGACCTTTCCAGAATAATAAAGCTCTAAGAACTGATGGACTATCTATTGAAATGTCTCAGAAACCATGCTGAGCTGGAAGCATTCCCTAGTGTACGCCAAGAAATCTGGAAGACAGTTACTTGGCCAGCCAACTGGAAGAGATCTATATTTGTGTCTATTCCAAAAGAGGTGACACAACAGAAGTTCAGACATTATCAAATAATCTCTTTTTCAAACAAAACAAAAACTATCCTCATTCCATCATTTGATTCTGACTCGTAGTGACCCAATAGTACAGAGATGAACTACCCCTGCGGGGGTCTTCTAAAGCTGTAGGTAGAGCTTTATGGAAGCGGACAACTTCATCTTTCTCCAGAGAACAGCTGGAGAGTTCAAAGTGCTGGCCTTGCTGTTAGCTGCTGCATAACCCACTACACCACCAGAGCTCCCGTTAATTTCACATGCAAGTAAAATTTTACTGGCGATCGTTCCAAAAATATTGCAGCAGTCCACCATTAGGGAGCTGGCAGAATATCAAACTAGATTCACAAGAGGATGTGACAGGAGAACTATCATTGCTAACTTCAGATGGGTCTTAGCTGAAAGCAGAGAATACCAGGAGGATGTTTATCTGTGCCCTACTGACTATGCAAAGGCATTGGACCGTGTGAATCATAACAAGCCATGGGTATCATCCGAAAGAATGGGAATTCCAGATCCCTGTGGAATCTATACATAGACCGGTTACCCCAAATACTGGGTTCAGTGTTCCAGAACCATCAAGCCTAATCAATAATCACCCCAAGTGGAACAGAGAAGGAGAAAAACTGACTATTAGACAGATAAGCTGAGGGAGCATCCAACAGCAGTTCAGACTGTTACACGGGTGTTCGGTTCATTTCCATTCCCAAGTAGCATTTATTTTATTTTATTTTAAATTAGTTTTGTTGCCATATATTTCACATGTCATACAATCTAATTGGTCATATTAAGATCTGTGCAATGATCACCACAGTTTCAGAACACTTCCTCCGCATAACTCATTGTTGTTGGCTCCAGGTAACATTTACACCCCTTTTCTAAAACCAGTCACGTACTATGTGCAGGCGAGCTGTCGTGTTTACAGTATGTGTCAGATCACAAGGAAATCATTAGACACAGTGAACCTACAAAAAAGAACCTTCAGCAGCTTGACCTCTTCTTTCCACGTGGCTACCTCCTATCAAAGCTTATACAACAACCAGGAAAAGTGGAAGATCAAGCCAGCCACAAACAGGATCCAAGTAGGTAGCATTCCAGACTTGATTGCACCCCAGGGACACAGCTAAAGCATACATTTGAAGAACAGTGGCAAGACATGTAAAAGACTTCACCCTCAGTAAACACTGTCCTTTTGGTCTTCAGTGACTGATTGTTCTAATTTGGGGGCGAGTTCGGTTCCATAGTCACAGAGAGTCTCACCCCAAGTCTCTGTCAAAATAATCAGCCTGACCTGTTTTATGATTGTGGGTTTAATCACACATTTTCTTTCTCTCTCTCTCTCTTAATGTTTTGTTGTGAATTGGGGGAAGGTTTACAGAGCAGATGCTTTCCATTCAACAATTCACACACATTGTTTCATCTCATTGATGGCAATCCCCGTAATGAAACATCACTTAGCTCGCTTCCCCTCTGTTTCCTGTTTCTATTCTTCCTCCTTTCCTAACCCTCTGAACTTTATTCATGGATAAATGCTGCCCTTTTGAGCTCAAAGGGTCCACTATTCTAAGGTTTTCTTACACAACTGTTATAGCTCCTGTTATGGTTAGGGGCTATAAGTTGACTTTGACTTACAGCAACCCTATGTACAACTGCTAACCTTCCACTTGATCAAGCCTAACGTCCTTTCGTGACATCATGTCCAAAGTCTGTCTTGTCATCCTTGATTCCATGGAGAATTCTGGCCGTACTTCCTCCAAGAGCTCTGTTTGCTCCTCTAACAGCCCGTGGTCCTTTTAATATTCTTTGCCGACACCATCATTCAAAGTATCGACTCAGTTTCTCTTCCTTCTTGTCCAACCCTCACATGCATGAGGCAAGGTGACAGCTCTGCTCTCTTTAAATAGCTCTCTGGCAGGTCTGCTCAGTGATAGGTTGTTTGATTTCTTGACTGCTGCTTCCATGAGTGTTGATTGTAGATCAAAGTCAAATAAAATCACTGACTTCGGCATTGTCTCCTTTCTTTACGATGTGTACTGGCTCCGTTGCCAGGATTTCTTCTTTGTTTCCGTTGAGGTGTCATCCATGCCTCAGGCTGTCATGTCTGACGTTCCTCGGCAGGTGCTTCAATCCTCTTCACTGTCAGCAACAAGGCTGTGTGTCTGCATAGGGTAGGTTGTTGGGTTTTTGTTTGTTTGTTTGATCATTTTATTGGGAGCTCTTTAGAGCTCTTAT